TATACATGTATATGTATATACATGTATATGTATATGTATATGTATATATATGTGTTTGTGTGTGTGTGTATTTCTTATCTTGGCAGGTTCTGAATCAGACATCCAGGCTTGAGATCCAGCTGCTGGAAAATTCTCTCTCCACTAACAAGTTGGAGAAAGAGTTAATGGTCCAGACCAATGAGATCAGCAAGCTGCATGACAAGAACAGGTAAACAGACAACACTTGGAGCAAACATAACCACACACACACACACACACACACACACACACTAGACACAATCCAGACTGCAGCAGAGATAGATTGAAGGAAATAGAGATGATGTATCGACAGCCTGTTCTGCTGTTCTCTGCGGGATTGCGTGACCAAAATCAAAGGCTTGCTACCAGCTCTCATATTCTGTCCATTTTCCAAAACAATATTCAGTTGTTTATACAACAGCATAATAATCCATGTTGGACCACTGTGCAGTTGTTGCAAAATCAGGATATGAAAATGTTTTGGTCTCCAAATCTAGTCCTTTTACAGTGATTGGTGCTGTGGGATTGTCTTAGATGATGTAGTGTTTAAAAGGGTTCGGTCCACGTCTCCCGTTGCAGTGTCCATAGAGACTCCATGCAATCACTTTGGAAAAAAGTGAACACCATTTGAAAGAGCAGTCTCCAATGGTTCTGACTTTTTCTATAGTTATTTTCGAGGCTTACATAGAAAGATTTCTGAGGGCAATTCCCCTAAACCTCAGCAATTATGACATTATTCCATCTTGTACGTGTGTCGTCTGTACTCTTTCCTTTACCAAATCTATAATGGAGGGAAACGTGATCAGTTAATGAATTTGATGTCAGCCTATATCATCTTTCAGACATCTGATTGTACAGCGGTAATTCACACGTACGGAAAGGGCTTACTTATTTACCTATGAGGCGTGTGTTTATATTGTGTGGGGAACACATAGCAACCAAACCTACAGACATCCTTATTTGTAGTTATGCACACTTCTTGTATTTGTAATCCCATATCGCTCTCCGGGAAATAACATACCAGTGTCCATGACAAAGTAACAACAGGAAGTAGAAATGTCAAAAGTGGAAGAATTTCACAAATTCAGCTTTAATCTGCTGACCCCAATTTATAATGCTGTAAAAGTAAAAAAAAAAGGAAGAGATACACGTTACATAATCAGTAAGTCACTGGTATTATCATAATAAAAACTGCAAAACATTATTCAATCCATTTAAATCTGTAAAAACAAACCTGATTCCAGCGGATTTGGATGCCCTAAAGGACCTTAATAATTAGCAACTTTTCCGTCTTCTGTAAAAAACTTGTCTTCCTTTTGTCCTTTCCCTCAGCCTGCTGGAGCAGAAGATGTTAGAAATGGAAACGCGACACCGCGAGGAGCTGGAGTCGCTGAAGCAGGAGAAGGGGAGTCTCCACACCCTGGTGGGGAGGCAGAGCGGGGTTATCGGGGAGCTAGAGGCCCAGCTGAGCCGGGCCTCGGGGAACAGCACGGCCCTGCAGAGACAGCAGCAAGAGATGATGGACACCGTCCACAACCTGCTCAGCCTCTGCTCCAAAGATGGAGGTAGGTGAACTGGAGTCAGAGTCTCAAAAGCTGAGATGTTTGGAGCTTTTACAGCAATTGTAAATATGCTCTTAAGGCACATCCTGGTACTTTTATTCACAAGCCTTTAAAGCCATTTCTCACCAGTGTAATGCAAAAATGCACTGCGGGAATACAACAATTCACAAAACATGATTCTGCGATCATTCTTGTTTTGTCTGGCTCAGGTTAAACCCTCAAAACTAAAATAAATGAACAAATACATTTAGAAAATGAATGCCAAAGAACTTTCTTTTGTTATCCAGTCTGATGGATTTTCAGTTGAAAATATTGCCAAATTGTTGGAACGTTACATTCTCCGCTTTCAACTGCCTGATCGATACTGCACATGTTCATCTCTCAACAGAGCGAGATGGCTCACTTGTTCACTACTTCCATCATCGATTTCGGACGCAGCAAACCTTTTTCCATGAGCTGATGTAGCTAACGAGTGAGCCATCTCGCTTTTTTACTCATCTTTGTTGCACGGGCAGGATATATAGATCAGGTAGAGAGTGACACGTGTTGTTGTTGTTCCTGCGTAGCATAAATGAGCTGATGAATGATATGACATGATATCGGATCAATGCATTTTATTCCGTATCGAAGGCATTTCCAACACTGGTATCGTAAGAACTCTAATGACATTGCTTGGAACAAAGGATTTCATTGGTCAAACAAATATTTCCACAGGTGGAAATCAGTTGGGATCGAGGTCCGTCTTATTTATTTTTTCCCTGCGCAAATGTTCCGGAGTGGTTGCAAGCCACCGTGCACTGGCTTGGTTCAACCATTGAAGAAATCTGTGTTTCAGTGGAGGAGAGTGTTCTTCAGTCATCTGTTAATTTTTATTAACTATATTAACTATATTTAGTTATGAGTGATCCAAATTGTAGCGATTGTTTACCCTTCATATTATATATTATAGAGCAAGGCAATAAATGATTAGTTCTGTGCTATAATAAAATAATATAGCTTCCTTACATGCATTTCTGGTAACGGCCACTGAGGGGTTCAGTGAGCCCCCCTGAACCAATGCAAACTAGCGATGACCCTGACCTAAAAATATGCCTAGCCACCCTTGCCAGACCACAATGTGCAAAGCAAAATTTGCGTATCGGCTGTTCCAGGCTTAAACTACGTGGCAGCACTCGACTTGCTTTGCATTACTTGCTTCCTCTGGTAAAATGTTAGAGCTACAACATCTTCGAGTTTACAATCCTCATGAAATTGTGATGACAACCAGTTCTATAAACTTCACCCCATAGCGAGAGACACAGGGATGCACTGCTATTAAAGCCTGCATCATTGAGAGCAGCATGAAGAAAGAAACACGGTTCTTATTGTAACCCGGTGTGCTCCTGTTAAAGAGCCTTGGTGCCTCTCATAAACCAGCGTGGTGCTCTCTTCTTTTTTGTTTTTGCAAATATCACTTTTCACGCTTAACTTGATAAAGTATTTGCACACACAGCTTCACGGAAACGTTAAGCATGACTGGTTATGAAGTAATAAGCTTATTTTATTCCTCAGAGTCTCTCGCTTCTGTTGAATAAGAACCCAGGGATTTCCCTTTTGGCCCAACGTTTGACCCGACAGCAACGCAGACCCCTCTTGTTCGGTCAAACGCGGTGAACTCATTTACTCCTTTGTCAGGCATTTAAATGCCGAACCCGCTTGATCCCAACAGTGGCTTTAAATCCCATCGGTCACAGGAGATTTGACATGAATATCTTTGTCGGGGGGGGGGGGGGAGATGCGAACTTCATTTCCATTTGCGGATTTCCGGCAGAGACGCCTCGAGACCCCACTGTGCTCCTTGAGGTTTCCCAACAGACAGGAAACGACAAGGTTATGAAGGGATATCTCCCTTTTGTAATTTTAATGTTCCATGCGAAAAAAGGTCACGGGTGGCCTCTGCTGGCTCTCCATCTGTTTAGTCTGGATTTGTGTATGTTGCATTTAATTACCGGAGGTCTTTTGAGACCACTTTTGCCTGACTGGTCGTTATGTATCATCTCCATGTTCAAGTGTGTCCACATGCAACACTTCTGACTCTCTTCTCTTTACTGGCTTTGTAATCTGCCAAGTTTGATTAAATTCTCTGAATTTTATGCTTTTCTAGCCTTTGTTTTGACACCGCTCCTGCCATTTCCAGTGTCAGCAGGGTCAGGAGGAGCGGGGGCACCACAGCCGGGTCCCGCTGTCCGTGATTGTTGGCTGTCTTAATGAGAGGCGATAGAAATGGAACGTGGCCGCCGCCGCTCTGTGGTTGGTCCTTTCCTCTTCCATGAAGGCTGAGGCGGGCGCGCGGGGGGTCAGAGGTCTCCGCTTTCTTCACCCCAGCCTGAATAAGTCAAACTGTAATAGCTCCCGGGGGACGCCCCGTCCAAAGGAGGCGAAGGAGTAGGTAGACCTCACCGATCATGTGACGCACTGCCCCTTGTTTTTCCGACAAACACAGAAGCAGCAAAGCTCTCTCTTCTTGTTTTTCCACGTTCGGGGGAGGGCTTTTCTTTGTTTGAGAAATGGATTAGTGTTTTCATTTGAGGAAAGGGTTAGCATGTGATGCCACGGAGTGGCGTCTGCTTGCGTTAGTCGCTGTTTTGAAAACTGAGCCTGAGCATTTCCTCTAAAAGCATGGACTCAAATCATCTTTGACTTTGCTTTGGGGAAGATTACGCATACTTAGAAAAGGGAGTTTTAACACTAAATCTCCATGACCTTTCTTTCCCCCCCCCGGCTGTCCGTGTACAGCTTTTCCTAAAAGCAAGGCTTCCAGTGCGAACTGAGAGCCCGGCGGACGTGTTTGATGTGGCCAGATGCGACAGCGCAGCTCTTGTTTTGGTTGTAATCATTACCCAAACCTCATTAGGGTGCAATGAGCCACGTACTATTATTAACGGTAATCGACATCAGCTTTGGAACACTCGTTCATAAATTTCTGGCTGCTAAACATGATTTTGTTTTACAGTGTTCTATTATCCCACTTAATGAATGCCATTCATCATTTTTACAGCTGCTTACTCAGTAGGAGTCAAACAAAGTGGAATTATTTTAGGGCTCCACTCAAAAAAAGCCTTATAAAAAATAATTAAAAAGAAAACAAGTGGGTTGTAATGCCTCAACAAGACAGTACGGTAAACCACTTCATTAGACATCCCTTTACAAACCAGACAAAATGTTCGACTGCTGCACATGATTCTTTTTATGCTTCAGCGACCAGCAGAATGAGTCGACACTTATTGTTGCAAAGACCCTGTAAAGCGAGCAGTTATTGCGAGTCACCTCGGTGACCTTCCTAAAACCTTTATTTTCGCAGAGGGAGCTAGACTGTTTTATTATATGTTGTCGTTTGCACACGTCTGTTAAAACCCTTAAATGGAAGCAATGTGTTTTAGAGCCGTGTAATAAGGCGGTAGATAGCAATCCCAGTCATCACAGTTGGTAAGTTCATTGATTGCCTGGTATTTTAGGTCAAAATGAATTGATACTGTAAGGCAGAGTGATAAAACATAAACAGGAGGTCTTTCACATTGAAGAGCTCAACTAAACTCTACTCACTGGTAAACTTACTAAGTGAACTTTGGAAGTTAGTATGTTATTTAGTTATAGGAAGTATGATTTCTATTATTAAACAAACTTGACTCTCATGACTCTTACACACAACAACCGTAATCCTCTTCACATGCTAAACAAGGACTACACATCATTGTTGACAAGTGCACTGTGGGAATGAACTGGTGTTATTTCATAGTGCTTTGCACCCTTCACATATGAATACACCAGAGAAAATCCGTTGGATCTCGGAATGGGATCACTTAAACTCTCAGCGGCATTTAGAGACTGATTATAGTCACATGGGAGCAGTGATGTCTACGGCAGTCCATTTAGCTCCATTACTTGCTCTCTTCAGCACGAGTGTTTGGGCTCATTTGGCAAGGGTACTGATTTATGCAAACACCCGAGCCCTGCGGTCTTTTCACATGAACCCCCTACTGCATACGAGTCCCCGCTGAACCACAAAATATTTTTCTGTAAATAAATATCGGGACATAAATAATATTTGCAGAGCTGGGCACCACGCTGTTTCAAGGGAGCCGCTCAGACACTTCGGTGGACAGTCTTCTTCCACCGAGGGAGATCTCAGAGGCGATTGTGAAATGATTGTCCACACTGTTGCGGATCGAAGGCCAGAGAGCTCCCCTCTGTCAATGATCTCTCCCCCCCCGGCCTCTAAAATGTGCCCCCGCTGTCTGCCGGCTTGGGGTAAATTACCGCCTGACAGGGCGGGTCTTTGTTGTATTAGAGTCCGGGGCGTGAGGGCCCACTCTGTCAACCTGTCACAGCAGGAGATTCTTGTCGCCGACACTCAATACTTTGTCAAAATGCTCGGATAGAGCACCAAAATAAACGCCCTGCTTCCACCGGGATGTTCCGCGCTCAGGAAGGGGGGGGGCATCAAAGTGGAGGCTGAGGCTCGCTGACACTTTTCACTTTTCCCTGACATCTTCTTTTCCCCAACTCTTCCAACAATAAAAACAATGGTGTGAAAATGTTTATGATCGCTTCATATGGGAGGAGAAAGGGAGGAAGAAAGAGGAGGGAGAGATGGAGAGAAAAAAAGGAAAATCGGAAGGAATTCCCATCAATATAACAAGGGCTTGCAAGGTAAATACAAACCACTTGTTATAACAGGAACTTGAAATTTATAGCTTGTAGTATTTTGTCCTTAGCCCCTTGCTTGGTTTCAAAATAGTGCCGCCATAATTATCTACAGATGGAAATGGATGCAGCTGGTCCCGTCAAAAGACCGAGGCCTTCCTCTCAGAGCGGGGGATCATCCAGTCAACGAACTGCTTCTCTCTTGCTAATAACTTAGTCGCCCTCAGATTGTATCTGTCCGTTACAAGATACTCGCAGTGAGACCTCACCGAGCTTCTGCCTCAGACTCCTTTTATGTTTTCTCCTCTGAGATGTACGTATCTGAAATAAGATCAATTGACCCGATGTTCGTAATTTGTGACTTCACAAAACATTATCGCACTATGATTCCCATGCTTGTCCGACACACAAGGTAACATGAAGGGTAACAGATCCCTTGATTTATCAGAAAATGTTTTCACACCTGAGCTTTGGCATCCTGTCAGTCTAAAACCGCTCGTCTCGCGTTTCTGACAGACAGCTGGCATATGTGGCAACAAAATGTCTCATGTCAGAGTGGTGTTAATCTTCTCACCTTACGCTCAGCAAGAAAGTCAATAAGCATTTTTCCCCAAAATGTCAAACTGTTCCTTTGAAGTAACGGCCATAGAGTCTCAGCAGTAAAGATCATGGCACTCAAACTCAAAAGCAATACCCAGTTACCCAACAGACGCAAGTAGATTTGCTAGCGCTTGATATTTATTTGCAGAACTTGAGATAGCTTAACACTGTTTCCATTGTTACTTTACTACCCGCAGTTGTGCCTAATAGCACAAAGGTCGCGGACGAGGAGAAGAAGTTCCGCGACTGCGCCGACCTCCACCAGGCCGGCTTCCATAAGAGCGGAATCTACACCATCCAGATCAACCCTCAGGAGACCAAAAAGGTGGGAAGCCATAATATCTCACAATAACTACACTGTAATGTGAAAATATCTGCCTCTTCATCACTTCTAGGTCGCTCGTTCACAGTGGGTTTACAGGGAATCCTGAAAGCTGAAAATACACTTGGCAGCTTTGTGAGCGCAGGAGTTTATCTGGGGCGGGGGCTTGAGGTGTGAAACTGGACACTGAGCTCTGATCACGATGGTGACAATCGTGGATGTGTGTTCTCAACCTCTACACTGTGCTTACATAAGCTTCATTGATGGGAGTGATGATTTAATAAGGTATGAGGTCGGCACAAGGTTTTTGTGTGTGTGGATTTCTGTCTCTCAAAGTCAAGATTGGTGCTGCTGGGCTACTCGCAGAAATTAGAAATCTACTCCTCATGGGCATGGGCTCGTGAGAATGGGAGCCGGGATCGATATTCAGGGAAAGCTGTACCGCCACTTGCCCACCTCAAGACCTAGTAAAAGACTTGCGAGTGGACTTGTGTCTGCCGTATCAGAGTGGTCAAGAACCACCTGTAAAGAAATACAATGGGTATTGAGAGAGTTGCAGACTTCTCTGCAAAATCGACTGAAAAGTGTTTAATTCTGAACCAACTTTCATGCAATTTGGTTTGTTACAAACATGAGAAATTGAACATGATACTATGCCGATACGATATGTGGCAACACACAGCAGCAACCAAACGTTAACGCACATCCGGCCTTGCGCCCGTTTGAAGCATCTAACCTTCAAACCTCTGGGTGGAAATTCCCGTCCGCAGCTAACTTTCACTGTCCGAGTGGAAGCTCGTGAGTCGAGTCTTCACGCTCGACGTTCGTTCATGTTAATTCAACACCTGCCGAGTCATCGGCAGCTCCCACACTCCCAGCTTTGTGTTCGTCCCATATTATATTTTTCCAAGTCAGTACATAAGTAAGTTTGTGCATGAACACCATGAATGATGAGCTCGTCTTGGAGAAAACGACTCTGTCAAGGGCACTTCCTTAATTATACCCAGGCCGTGTTCATGTGTGTTCAGCTGTGTGTGCTGGCTGAGGTGAGAGACCTTCTCCACTCCACCCTGGGGTCTCCTCAAAACAAAGAGCGATGCTGCAGACAGAGCACCAGCCCTGCGTTATCAGCTTACACACAACCGGGTCCAAGGTTAAGGGCCACATTACACCAAGGACCTCCACTTTGATTCTGCAGAAACGAGGCCGCCTGTTGAGAAACATCTCCGGGGAGTTGGTATGGGATAAGGAGACGCTGATTAAGTTTGAGGAGGACCCAGAAACGTCGCATTCCCAAAGATGATTCATAATGAAAGCTGGGAAAAAGGAGTGTCTGAAACCAAATGATTGTCCAAGTGACCCTTCATTGTTTGTTAATGCCGCTGAGTCACGTTGAATGTCGAATTCATCAGCTTGTTAGATCAATTTCACACAGAGACCTATGAGTGCTGTCATTGTTCCATTACCTTCATCCATGGGTTTTTCCCACCCCTCCTTTGCTTGCTCTCTTTTCAATTGTGTAGGTGTATTGCAACATGGAAACAGCCGGCGGTGGATGGACGCTCATCCAGCGCAGAGAGGACGGCACTGTGGACTTCCAGAGAACGTGGAAGGAGTACAAGATGGTGAGACGAGACAAAAACACACATACACACACTCGTCTGGCATGCAGACACTCATCCATATCTATTCAAATCAAGATAACGGTGGTCATTTTAAACACGAGTCAGTAAGTCAACACACAGACAGAAAATGAAGATAAAACACTCAAATATCAGTTACGAAACTGTACGATGAGCAAAACATCCTGTTTCAAAAATACACCACGGATTATGACAAATGGCGGACGCTTTTTTGGCCTCGATTGAACATGCTGAAAGCTAAGAGGCAGGATCTGCCAATCCAGATGTCATTCCTCCCCCATTGTACTAGCAATACTGTCTAGGGTGTCTGAGACTTTCTCCTCTCCTTAGCCGAGGCTTCAGTGACATGCTGTTATTCTTCCTCTTCTTCCAACAGAAAATTATTACCTAAATCTGCAAACAACACGTTTGTTTAGTCTCTGTAGCGCTGTGCCAGGTGTGTCATCTGTTTGCCATCAGGGAGCAATCTATGCGGATTTGCATTAAGGGTGTTAACATTTCAGAGCCGAAGCTGCGTTTTTCGGCGGGGAATTGGATTTGTTATTGCTGGCAGTTGCATTGCTTGTGTTTGCTGCGGAAGTCACCTGTGTATGCCTTCCACTAGCTGTGAGCTTATTGTCAAATGGACTGTGTTCATTCTGTCCCCTGTAGTCTGCTTTGTGTTTCCCGTTTTAATTATTTCCCCTGTCTCCGCTGCTCTTGATGTACAAACCTCCAGTCAATGGGAAAGGATTTCTAAGTTTGTGGGACATTATAACCAGAGAAAATCCCAAGTTAGATGGAATAAAAGCACTGAACACTTGTGAAAGGTTTGAATGGTGAAAAAAGAAACAATAAGACAAATACAAATAAAGACAATAACTATATGTGAAGCCTGAAAAGAAAGAACCAACTAGACAAGTGCAGCATGTCTTCCTCTCCCCTTCCAAACAAAGACGTATTGAATCTCACAGTCAAGATGGCAGTAGAAGCTTTTCTTTGGATGTCTGTGTTTGAGCCACGACAAAGGGCCAAATGTGTCCTGCAACAGATTAGGAACTAGATAACTGGAAATGCCTTTTGCTACTGAAGCGGTTGTTGTTCACGACCTAATAGGAGTGAGGAGTCGGCAGTCAATGACGGCATAAAACAGTCAATAAAATAGTTTTTTCAGACCTGTTTTGAATCACCGCAACCATGAGAGGTCCCACACACACGACTGGCCGCATGATCTCCCCACAGGCCGGCGGAGGTAATGAGACAGATGTGGAACCCCCCCCCCCAGCTTTGAACAGGTGTTATAGAGAACAGGGTGTGCATTGGGCACACTCATGGACCCTTGGCCGACATTTACAGTGCTGATCTAATAGCTTAGCGTTTTACTGGTGGTCTCCTTGAAAACTCCGGAGGTGATCGATGGTGCTTGATTGTGTTAGTCGTTTTCTCATTCTTCGTCTCCAGAGGCTTGTGCTCACAGATTTAATATTTAATGTACTTTGAGGATTTGTAAATCTTTCGGTAACCGCTGACGTGTTGTTTCTTTGTGGGACCACGGAGACACTTTTTGGCAACGGGGATGTAGTGCAGTGATGTGAGTGTTTACAATGACATTGCCAGGAGACCACACATCACAAGGGGACCTCTCAAATTATATTCACAACTCACTCTTCCATCTTATCAGCATGTGAAAATGGTGCTTGTAGAGCGATGCTTTCCAGCCTCTACAAGCACTTCAGGGGGTACTTGTGCAGTTTCCAGGGGGTAAGAGGGAAGCTCATGTAGTTAACTAGTAAATCTACAGTGAGCAGTGAGCTGACCGTCAGCCTGAGTCACTTGTAACACATTAACATCGCATGTTGCTAGCAAGTTGCTGGAAACTGAAGCAGGAATGGTTAACAGTCAGAACTTGACATTTGGTCCAACTACATTCGTGCAATGTAGCCCTTCTACAAAACAATCAATTGCAAGTGTAGGGATGACGACAGGACGTAGATATATCATGTATAGTTTTTTTTAGAACGCTTGCATAATTGCAATGTGAAACCAAAACTAACTGCATCAAATGAATACACTGTAACAAATACGTAAACCGTAGTTCGGACTCTCATGTGTGAAAAGGCTAATCTCTGTCAACAGATATCTGCATGTGAATCTGTAGACAAAGGGGAAAAGATTTTGGTATCGGAAGCATTCGGCTTTCTGTTTGTCTTCCGTGTAGTCATGATGTTCATGTTTGAGCCAGCTTTGGCAGGTTAAAAAGAGAGATTGATAATCGGAGGACAAAGTCTTGTCCCAGATATGTCAGACCAACAGCCAATGGGTTCCAAGATTGCGAAAAAGCCCAACATGTACAAGCTGTTTATATAGTTAGCTTAAAGTATGAATAAACACTTGAAATAATATACGTATATGTATAATATGTTTAAAGTAATAAATAAACTGTTGAAATAGTACGTTAAAAGTAATGGATTCTGCCACTCCTAAGTAGTGTGAATGCAAATTTGACCAAAGCAACATAAACATTGACTGTTCAGATATATTGTATTGTTTTAAAGGATTGGACTCTCTCAGTATTTCTAGTTCATCTTTGCATGTACAACAGTTCCTGACATTTACAGTGCTCAGTGTTTACAACTACTCTCCTCCCTGACAAAGTGCTTTCAGCAAGTGTAACCGAAATACAAACTAAGAGCTCAGTCCAACGATGTGACGAAGCATCTCCTCATCTCCTCTTAGCTGAGTGATTTCGGTCAGGATCGCGAAGAACCGGAACCACATAAAGGAACAACCACGGAGCTCGACGGAGCTCCAAACCTTTTAATGCGGCCAGGGTTTCTTGAAACATATTCCGCACTCACAGCAGGTGGCATTGGACCGAGCTGGAAGACAGTCAGGAGGGAACATCTCATCAGGAGTGAGATCAATTCAAAGAGTGGCGGAGAGAGAGAAGGGAGAGAAAGCAGTAATGGGCCCCAGTCACTTTCTCTTCCACCCACTCAGCAGGACATGCCTAAGGCTAGAGGAATGCCCCATATTTACTTTCCCTCCTTCCCATTCCTCATCACCACACACGCTCAGAACAAACACAGACTTCTCTCTGACTTTGCCCCCCTTCTTTCCCGATCTTTAATGGAGCGGTTCAGACTGCCCTGTCAGAGCTGTAATGTCATCCCGCTTCACAATATTTCCCTCTGCAATGCACTGCTCTTGCCGCTGTCAGAAGCACTTTGCCTGTGACCGGGAGCCACTCTGATCAAATGTAAACTTTTTGCAGTTGTTTGAAGGAGTGTCACGTGCATGCAGTATATATTTTGGGAAAGAAGTCTTAAAGTAATAATGAGTTTAGCATGTGTGTGACTCGAGAGGAAGACAGGAATGGAAAAAAGGTGTGTGTCTATTTCAGCTGGTACCAATTTAGACTTTTATAGGTAGGTACATCTATCCACGTGGAGGACCAAGCCAAAGGCAAGCTTAAAGAAACCTGCATATGAATATGAATATACAATGTGAGTAATGTGTGCGGCTTATTCACTGAGATCTGGAGGAACGGAAAAGAATGCTGGGAAGCTATGAGTAAAAAAAAAAAATGCAGCACAGAAACATTTTTGCTGGTGGATACAATATTTATTATCAGATTGACAAAGTATAAATCAATGAATCCATTCCACAATTCTCTAGTGATGAGATGTTATCATTCTAAGAAAATACTGGTGATAGCAGTGGATGATATCTAGTCCATGATTTACAAAAAGGGATTTTCCGCACTATTCCCGCACCGATTGTTGTGTTCCTCTTCCTTTCATTCCAGGGTTTCGGCAGCTTGCCTGCAGAGCACTGGTTGGGGAACGAGTATGTCTACCAGTTGACCAGCCAGAGGCAGTACGCCCTCCGTGTAGAACTGACCGACTGGGACGGACACCAGGCCTTCTCGCTATATGACCGCTTCCAGATCGGCGGTGAGAAACAAAACTACAGGTAAGATGGCTGATATGAAGCTACTGGTCGACAAGGACGGGGATAATGTTTTTTATTTCTTCAGGCCAAGGAACAAACTCAGACAGCGAGATGTGTCCCTCCTCATTACAGCTTTTTTTACATCCTCGGGTTTGAACTTTTATCTGCATCACATGTTAAAATGATACAGACTTCAGGCTGAAATTTGAATAAATGAATTAATCCTCAAATAACCTGTCGAAGGCAGTGTTGGTTGGTTGGTCACCGACTGTCCACCCCTTTGGTCCAGACTGAAATATCTCAACCGCTATTGGTTTCATTGCCATGACATTTGGTACAAACATTTATGCCATGAATTATAATAACCTGGGGGATCACTTTTATCTGGCCTTTAATCTAGCACCATTGGAAGGAGGAAAGGAATTGCATAAGGACGCATTACATTGATGGAAGGACAAAATGTTCGAAAGTGTTAACATTATAAACATGGCTAGCAACTGTGAGCTCTCCAGACGCTTCAATCATGTCGATCCAGTTATGCAAGTCTGCGGCGAGGCTTTTCTCATCGCAAATTCCTTCCAAACCAAATCTATCGCTTGTCGTCGTCTCCTCGTTTCCTTTGATTGACGCTTTGTCCTTGCGTGTTGCGGGGGCGAAGGTTTCTGTTTTCTTTTGTGGGGGTTAATGATAACAGGCCTCAAAACTATGGCAGCTGCTTGGCCCTCTCAGATGTGGAAAACGACTGCAAATTCCACAGAGTTCCGAGCAATTGCTGGCTTCTCGGGAGAAGGTCTGACATCTCCAATTCTGCAGTTTTTACTGGATGGCTGGTTCTCTCTGATAAGAGGTCCCTTTAGTTGCGAAATGTCTTGCGTCCAGCTTTGAATGACGAAATGAGGAACGAGATTCTGTGGCTTGAAAGCGTTTACCTCAACCCCTCCATTCCTCGCACACAAGTGTTTCCCTACGGGGGGGGGGGGGGGGGGGTGAGGCTTGTTGCCATAATATCCAATTTTCTAAATTGTCATGCGATGACAGGGGTTTCACTTTACGAGGTTTCCGTCTTGAGGAGCTCATACCTGGACTGGTCTTTGTGGTCTCTCTGAGGACTGGAGAAATGGATTTCAATCAAGCGAAAGATCAAAGTGTTTTTTTTTGTTTTGAATTTAATGCAGAGTTGAGGTTTTGTGTGACCGCAATGTGAGGACTGAGTGAAATCATCTCTTATTACTGTACCTTTAGTCTCTACTTCTGGCTCTGGTTTGAATGCACAGGCGCTGACCTCAGGCTTGTGTACAAGGCCCACTGATATGTAGAGTGCGGGCCCGAATCAAACCTCAATACATACTGAACTGTGTCTCTCCTTGTGTGAATCTCTTTCATTCACACACACTTATATCTGCTTGACCTTTTGTTCTTATGAATTAAGGAAACAATAATTGTTTTTGTCCCGCTGCGGCAGGCAAAGGGCATCTCTGCCCATTGCAGCCTTGTTTTCCATGCAGGCTCATGCTGTTTAGGAGTCCAATCGACACACTGATCTCTAGAAATAGATTTGTTCTTGAAAAATAGTTGTGGTATGATAATCACACACTGCTCCTCTGAAACACGGGCCAAAACACACCAGATGGTGGGGCCCAAAACAAACTGACGCTGCCATGTGTTCTGCTTTGGCACCCACCTGCTTTTAAATGTTCTCCGAATTACATTTCGTTCTGTGAAACCTAAGCGATAGTAGTACGCGATATGCCTTTCAGTTGGTTTGGGATTATTTCCGGTCCTCCGCGGTGGACCGGTTTACTGGAATACAGTCTGCGTCAGTGCGAATCAGACAAACATTTGTAGAGAACATTTGGTGTCGTAAATCTGCCTCTTGCTCTCTGTCTCACACACACACACACACACACACACACACACACACACACACACACACAGAGGCTGTATGGAGGAAAGCACATAAACAAGACAAACAGACCACTTAGTAACCAGGTATAATAATTGAATATTGAGAATTGCCAGGAAAGGTTTGTCTAGCTGCCAGCTTCTTGGTTTCTTCTATATATAGTGTGAAACGGAAATGACTCAACTTTCAGAGAGGGTGGGAGGTGTGCAATCATTCCTTTGTGAAATATAAGGTCCTAATCCTTCATAAATGAAGTAATTTGTTATGGAATAAATGTCATATTTACTACCGGTATGCTTTAAGTATGGACCTGCCATTTAATTGTATTCAGTCATCTAATTCTTGTTGGCTTTGGCCAGCATAATAAAACGGATCAATCAGTTCATTAGCTTTCAGATGATTGAAATAACTTGAAGCATATTTTCAAAATAAAGTGTCATTTTCTTTTGGTTCATGTTTTCATTAGAATTGCAATAATGGGCACCCTTTGAGACTACTTTCTATGATATCTCAAAAATAGAGATAATTCAATGGGTATGAACAGTTTCCCCCTAATTTAATGATTTTGGGATAAATTATTAATTCTCTCAGTGGATACGATTATTTTTTGCCTGTGTTGAAGGCCTTTTTCAAGGCAAATCAAAACCGATAAGTTCAAGCTGTCCAACACTGTCATCTTCAAGGGCTTAGAAAAGGGATACTTTGCGATTTTCAAAAAGCTTTGTATTATCGCAGTGTGCGCAAATGAACGTGTTGGACTTGCCTCTGTGTTGCCAGCGCCTGGACGTCTCTGCTCATTTGCCAGAGGACTTAAGCCCGGACGCTGCAGCACGGGGCAAAAAGAGGCAGATTGTGTATACCTCTTTATTTCTGGATTTATCGTATTGCAAATATTATCAGTGTAGTTGAAAATTAGTCGATTAGTCAATCAACATAAAATAAAGTTAATATTTGCTGGTTCCTTAGTGTACCATGATAGTAAACTGAATATCTGTGGGTTTTGAAATGCTTGCCAGACAAAACAAGAAATGTGAGTATCTCAACTTGGGCTTTGTAAAATCTGACGGGCATTTCTCACTATTTATTAAAATTATGTGGACCAAACAAATAATATATTAGAGAAAATAAAGTACAGATTAATGTATAATGAAGAAAATATAACATTTTTGCTTTACTGTAAACTTAGCCTTAAACTTAACTTATTAAAAAAAAAACACCTTAACTATCTATCATGCATGCTCAACATGCATTCATTTTGCATAACTTCTCTTAGAAGTCGAGCATTAGAGCAGCAGCCGATCAAGAGGCACGCATCGATGCAATAGCAGCCAAATAAAAGAAGAAATCTACTCTGGCTACATCTGCACAGTGTGAGCTGACATCAGTAATGTTGTTTTAAAATTAAACGAACAAATCTTGTGGACAACACTGAGGGATACATTTGGGTTGACCAGCGCTCCAAAGTTCCCACTGAGCCCCATAACATTGTGAAATGAGCTCTCGAGTCTTTTTCTTCATTGTGACTGGGGTCACTATAATTGCAAAGGTTACTGTCTTTATAAACAGCACATACACTCCCCCATCATCAAATCTAATTTGGTTGCTGCGATACAGCATGGGTTGCAGAAAAGAAAATAATAAAAACAAATATAATTTGATGACCTACGCATATTCTTTTAACGATAGCCATCAGATCAACACATTCAGTTAATTACCCTCATTTATCAAAGTTTCTTTGCTGCACAAATTGGCATATCAGTGTAAATAGACGAGGGAAAGTAAAAGGCAACCTTTATGAAAGCAAAGAGTCAGAGGGAAATTATTGCACAGAATGAAGAAAATTGCACGTTGCACAAAACTAAATAACGTAACAAGAAAAGACTGATCAACAAACTGAACTGAATGATACACTATGTTGGCTTACATAAACAGTTTCATGCAGATAAACAGTGATTACTGAGAATGGCCATGAAGTTAGAGATTTAGAGTTGTTATTGTTTCTAAAATACTATGTTTTAACACAGGCTTGGTAGATAAATAGCAAGGATCATAATGTCTCTTAGCTATGAAAGATCATCTGAACTTGAACACAATACTGTGGTGTGTCATGTAATTACTTCCAGTCACAAACTTTAAAGTAGTGTGTTAAGAGTGAAGGCAGCAGAGCTTCTTGCAGCGTATTAAGAGAGAGTTGCAATCTCTCTGCAGCTTATTGAACAGAACGACCAAGTATAAAGAAGTATCGTCTGCATAAAGATGTATTTGAAAATTACGGATTCAAAGGCAATAATTGTAAGGAAACAGCACAGAAAGTCGAGAATAACCAGGATACTCAAAGTAAGTGCATGTAAACTATCTGAACGCTGGCTAACCTCCTGTGGGTTACTGACTGGAACTGGACTAGAGGTCCACTTAATAGCTGCAGAGTAAATGTTAGAGTGGTCGACTTCATCTTAGAGGAGAAGGGCAATCAAAGTGGCATTTAGTACAATTGTTCTTCTCATGAATGCTCACAGTTTTTTCAAGAGTTTGACCTGAAATAAAACATTGGTTCTGTTGATGTATGAACTCCAAAGGGTTTTATGTCTCGTTGAAGAGAAAAATAAGAAGAGTTCGAGTCCTCATGCAAGATCATTGAAAGGCAGATATAGTGCATAGTACTAAATTGATTACATTTTTTATAGTTAGGGCCATTAATCAGTCATTAATCAGGCATAAAAAAAGTGCATTCAGATACATCTATATGTTAAAGATCTGATTGAAATACATAAAATGTTTACATGTTGAAACCTTTTCGTGATGTGGACTCAAACCTCAAATCATATGTTTTCCAACATGCAGCATTTTTGACGTTTTAAAAAAAAATCCTTTGCTTTACTATTTATGCCCAAAGCCTGACCATGTCAATGTTTTTTCTAGGATTAAGAATTTAAAGTTAACTACTTCCCAGAGGGGGAATGTGTGCGTATGTTTAATGCATCTTAAAACGCTAATGCACGCAGCATGGTAAGATGTAGAGAAGTACCCTGGGCACCAGATAGAGCCATCATTTCCAAAATGTTCTGAG